CCAGCCTCCAATGGACGATCCATCTTCAGTGACCTCACTCCAACTTTGACCTTGAGGCCACCTCTTTTGTAAGAGCCTTCTCCTCTGGCACATCTCCACGGCAGCTTTCATGGTTATTAGGGAGACTTTCTTTTCTTTCTGATAATTTTATTTACTGTAAAGCTGTGGTGCTTTTAACCAGCCTGGTCATTGTCTTCTCAATAGAAAGTTGAATCTATTTAAATTTCATTCCATGATTACTCATATTTTGACTTCTTTCCATCACATTTTATAGTTAGTCTTTCTTAATTGTTTTTTCCTAACCTTTTAGATTAAGTCTGGTTTTTGTTTTGTTTCATTTTTTGTTTGCTTTTCCCCCCTCCGTTGTCTGTTTATAACTCTTGATTGTTGCCCTTCTGATATGCATTTCTAACCTAAATTCCAGTGTTCATCACACTCTACTATCCTTTGGAACGCTTTCCTGGTACATACTCGCAAATCTGACCAAATGCAGCACCCCACGCCCACCCCATTTAGCCGTTTTTATTTACTCAGCACTCTGGCATCACAGATCTTCTTTAAAGGATCATTTTATTTTTTTCCAAAATGCATCCTCTAAAAATACACCTTCTAAAAAGTTGCCTCTAATATCTGTTGCTGGTAAGTTCTGAGTTTCTGTCAAAAAGTCTTCATTTTGCCATTTTTATTAAAAGAGTTTTGCTGCATGTTATAGTACTGGATTAATTCCTTTTATTTCCAACATTCTGCCTTTCATACTCTATTTTCTGTCTTCCTTTATTCTTATTGAAGAACATCTCTTAGCACCATTGTCTTTATTTTTTCTCCCTAAGTAATTTTCTGGCCATTTTTGAGACCTCTCTTTTGTTAGTTTCCCAATAACATACCTCGGTGGGTTTAATTTTACTTATTGACTTGAGATGAATCTGAAAACCTGTATCTTTTTCAGTTCTAGAAAATTTCAGCCATTATCTCATCATACATACTCTCATCCTCCTTCCTCTTCCTTCTGGTATAAATTTAATTAAATGCCCTTTAGGCCTTTTTTTAAAAAATGTATTTGGTACAGGGTCTCACTATGCAGCTTGGACTCATCTCAGCCTTCCCAGTCTGGGATTACAGGGGTGCACCACCATGCCCCATCTCAGTGGCTGAGTCCTCTGAGCTATCTTGTCAGCCCCCTTTAGGCCTTCTTGCTCAGTCTTCAGTGGTTCCTGAGTCTTGCCACAGTTTCCTCTTTTTTTTTTTTAAATTT